CCGAATTTAAATTTTAATGTTGATAATTAGATTGACAGGCCGGAAATAAATGTATCCAAAACCAATTTAAATTTTTATGTTATTTATACCGACATTGATAGACTTGGTAAAAAAATCATAAACTAAAAATTAATGCTAACTCTAATATACTTGTATAAGATAAAAGCATCCACATAAGCATATAAATATACTAAAAAAGTTCATGAAAATTCATTCTAATGATTCCTAATTTTACTCAAAAAATTAAACTATATATTCTATAAATATTCAAAAAACATTACTGTCTTTTATTCCTTTTGTTTTATTTTTTTATTAAATCAAGATCAATCTTTCTCCACATTTATTTTTTCCCTGGACAATTCAAAAGTAGTGATTTTATCGTCTACATCGATTGTAACATCAGATTGGAGCTAGATTTCTTGTTTTGTTATCTTTTCCTGGGCCCGCTCATCTTTTGTCTTCTTATCTTACTTTATAAAAAAGTTAATGTATTTTCAAACACAAACTTTTGGAAATATAGACTCCGATTATTTTTCTGTTTAATGAGAATAAACGTTAATTTTATATATGTGCATTTTTTGTGTTTCTAATTTATTATTTAAAATAAGATTAGGAGTTACCTATTTTTTTCTCTACAATGAATTCTTCTATTGTGCATCCAATAAGAGTTTTTTTCCTGCATCAAATAATATTATCTTTGCTCTGTCCATGTCATTTTCCACGAGGATCTGAACTAAATTACTACATTTTCATCAATTTGCCTAATATTATAACATTAATACTTGATTTTAATATGTTTACTTCATGATGAAGGGATACTACTTAACATTGGTACTATGTCATCGGTGATTCTGTGATATTTATCATTTGGACACTCTTATTAGCATTTCTATCCACCTTCTTATTATAACATTTGTAAGCATAGAATCACAGGTTAACTCTATTATACATGGTAGTTATTTTTGTATTATAAGTGCAATAGCGTGTCATATATTGGTAAACTATATTTAGGTTTAATTGTGTGAATTTTTAGATAGGTATTGTAAGATCATACTCTTTCAAATATTGTGATAACTACATATATCAATAATTTAAATTTGTGTTGCATTTGTAAAGAGCTTTATTGGAGATGCTTTTGTCTTGACAGCTTGTTCTGAATGAGTCTTGTTTATTAGCTTTAAAATATAATATTTTTTTATTATTATGCTATATAGATATTTGCTTGGTTTACTTACCATTCTCTTATTATTATTTTTAATAAGTTGTATCTTTGGGTTAATATATATTATTGACATAATTTATGATGACATGCATATCTTCCTTACAAATTTAAGAAATATATAAGGTAAATTTTATGTTTAGTGGCTTTTAATAAGAATTTTAGTAATGGAATATGCTACCTTCGTATTTAAAGATATTGATATCTGAAAGTGCTATTATAGGCTTATCTTTGATCGTGTCTTCAAGAATTTATCCTTCATTAGTAGTCATCTTCCCCCAAATAAAGTTACACGCAGAATCATGCCACTGTATAAAAAATGTCAATGTTATTTTTTTACTTATGCTATTGTAAATAAGTATCATGTGCGTACCTTTTGTCCATTATAGTGATTTCTCTCCTCTTATCTAGCTTGTTATATGTCTTGCAACATGGTTAATCAATGACTTCACTTTAGTTTCCATTACAAAATATTTGTATATAGTTTTATATTAAATTTATAATTCCTTTAGTATTTGAAGAATAAAGTATAAAAATTTATATTACTTACTAATTTTTCTTGTATTTTCCATAAAGAATGTTTCTTTGATTGTAACCAAGTTGTTCAATATATTCTTTAAAGAACTTAATCGGTGCTTCTTTGATAGATATGCTTTTTGTCAATATCAATTCTAGTAACTTATGAATGTTTCCGTATTTTGGGTTTATTTCTTTCACTTCTCCATTTGAAATAAAAACAACTTATTTCTTTTAAAGTGTATCTCTAAACTTTCTAATAGTTTCTCTATACGTAGCTCCTTATATTTTTACGTTATAAATACTATTGACATGAGAGATCAATATTTATACATTATAATCTTTTATCAATTTTATATAATTTAGTCTTCTATCAATTAATGTTATTAGTAAAATAATATGCAATTTTTTTAATTTATACGGAGACATTAATTTCTAATGTCTTATATATATTTTAAAGTTTTATTCCTTAACTGGATATTTTTAATCTATTCTTATTACTATTTTTTACCATCATTAACTTAGACTACTTTTAGATGCTAAAAAAGGATTCTAAACTTTAAATTAGAAGTTAAATTTATATATCTTAATGAAAGGACATCAAATAACTATTTTTTTTTGCTAAGTTTAGAAATTTTAGTTTTTTGTGATTTAAAATTTTGAGGGTGTTCTGAAATCTTTAAAACATTGATAGGTTTTTAAAAAAAAAATTAAAATTTATGTTAGGTGCTTGTAATTTCCATGTTTCATATGCTGGTGATTACTTTTTAAATATTAGGATATTTCTTGCAACTCTAAAATGTTGAGAGTGTTTTTTATAATTATTAAAATTTTAGATTATTTTTTGCAAAATTTAAATTTCTAGCAATTCATTGATAATTTTCAATTTTGATTATGCTGGATATAAGTTTTGAAATTTCTAGTCATAAGTTTGAAATTCAGAACTTTTTGCAATTTTTAACTTTAGAGGGAGTATTCACAATTTTTCTAACTTTGAGATTATTTTTTGCAAATATTAAATTTTCAAGTGTCTGATGGTAATCCCTTGGTTCCATTTATATTATTTACAAAGTTTTAAAATTTTAGAATTTTAGGATGTTTTTTTGTAATTTAAACTTTTGAGGTTGTTCTTATAATATGTTTGTAATGTTGAGGGTATTAATTGCAAACTTGTTGTTTTGAGTTTTGAAAAGTTAGGGTGTTTTATGTAATTTTAAACTTTTGAGGTTATTTTGTGTAATTTTTGAAATGTTTTAGGTTTATTGTAATACTTCATGTGTTATAATATGTTAGCTATGTCTGATTTCTTAATTTTAATTTTTAAAATTGTTGAGTTATAGGTAGTTCACGTGGGATAAATATATGATATAATTAGTATTACGATAGATTAGGACAGGAGTCAATGAAATATGGCCAAAATAGTGAAGAGTAATACATGAGATAGAAAAGTCTTCCATATATATCCATAGTATATATAGTACAGCTATCTACAATATAATTAATACCGCTCATACGCGCCTACATAGTCCGTCACTACCTTAGGGCCCCCTCACGTTAAGCCCCTGGCCCCGCGCCCACCCACGAGAAAATGCGGACTTGGACAAAGTTGCTTGCCAAACAATTGATCAGCGAGAAGTGCATATCGCTTGTCCTACACCTCCCCTCACATTGGACGCTCCTGGTGACAGGGTGGTTGAATGTCTACTTCGAGTGTCGTTGTAGGGGGTCAAATTAGCCACATCACTCCACAAGCTGCGTTACCTTAAGCAACTTGGTACCTCACGACACCCCAAGTTCTCCATAGCATTCCTCACTGAACTATGCCCGACTCGATAGGTACTTCGCATACGTCATCAACCCTACGCCTTAGTCACTCCGAATCCCTCACACCTCGGCCACCCGGTTCAGGGCGTACATTCCACTACCACGACACCCGCCCCATCACAACCCGCCCCCGCTACTACCCCCGTCTCGCCCTCGCACACCCCCGCTACGCATCCGTACATGCCATCACATCTAATACTACTCATCCCCACCACGCTACCCTGAGGGTATTCAATATAATTCGCAACAGCACCGTTTCTGGAGCCTTGAGCGTACTTTTTTATGGACCCCGACAACTGTTAACCTTTATGAAAATTAAGATATGGGACGGTATCCGAAAATTTAAAATGATTGTCCACTGGTATTGTTCGGTATACAACGATAGGATCAGTCTCCCATTATAAAAAATTAAGCTGGTGAACCAACACACTCACACCTCGGCTCCTCACCGCCCCAGCCCCCCCTCCGGCCATCACCCTCGGTTTAGATGGTGGTTCTGGACTCATCCTTAATTTGAGTGCAAATTAATATGAATTACAATTTCACCGTGAGAGTATAGACTCGAGTGTGCCTCGGTCATTCCCTACCAATCAAACTCATAATACAATAAATGCGCCTGCTCCGGCCTTACAGAATCCACAATGGAATACTTAATTAACCTGTTTGCTTATCCCGGCCTGTTAATCCCCCGTATTCATCTAAAACGGCTCAAACAAATCAAGCTTCGCGGTGCATACCCATAACACCCAAACTAAAACCACAGACTCAAAACCTGCTAGTCATCAACACAATCCTTCTAATACCCCTTTCATGCTCCTCAATCCACAAGCAGCTGCACTACATCAAAGTGACGCATTACACCCATCCCCATCGACATTCCCCCTCCGCATTAGGTTGCAATCTTCAGATACTAGGCGCTGAAAATCAAGGAAAACAGTCAATTTTCACCCCTCAGCCAACAGCTCCGATCAGCCGGAAAATCTGGATCGACGAAACTCTATAGCATGTCGTCGCTCGCGACGAGTTCACAAAATGCCATGTGCTTGCTTTTCAGATCAATCGGGTAATCTGCAACACAGCCCAATTCTGGACCTGACCTGTAACCATCTCATGCCTAGACGTCTGACCCAACTTGATACCAGGCAACACTCGCTTACTCCTTTCTGATTTGATCCTCAGAATTGCTTCATGTAGGCAACATCACACCCTTGGGCATATGACGTACCCCAGTATACCCCTCCTTATTATATCCCCGTCCCCCCCCTGATAATGAGTACTCGTAGGTTTTAGTCCCACTTCGGCATGGAGAACAAAACCCTAACTCCTCTGACTTTACACATACTATCGCGTGCCACCTCAATATTCATTCAAGGGAATTGACGCCAAGACCTCCCTTCCTGCGCCTTACCACTTTATAATGGTATCACCGAAGGCCGCGTACCGGCTATTCCCTTTCCAATAAAATATGTTTCTAACGCTTTCCGCGTTCTTCCCGCCCTGGCAAATCTCTGGCTAATCGTTTTCGCAGCCGTTAATGTTGCTATCTTCTCTTCTATTCTATTTTCAAACGTCATTCTGCCTTCATCGCCGCTACACTCCTGCAGTTAATTCTCTTGGCTTTGTCCGTTGCGGCTCT